GCCTGACGGAGCTTCTCGGGAGTGGCAGCGATGCTAGGAAATGCACCTCCGAGCTTCCAAGTCTTATCCGCATCATCCCATTGCAAGACGCGATTTGCATTCACGACATGGTCCCCATCAAGAGACAGACTGTCAGCAAAAGTCTTGATTGCCCAGAAAAGCTCTTCTTCGATGTAACCTCCGGACTCATGCCCCAAAATGAGACACTTGCAAACAAAGTTCTGCACTGCTTGCACTACCTGCCTGGAAGTGAGCACATAATCTTGCGAACCGTGCTGTGCATACGCCCACCTGCCGAGATAGTCCCGCCGGTCCTTCCCCACTCCGAGGGCCGCGGCGATACTTGTCAAGACATGCCTGGCACTATGCCCAGTCCAGAAATTCCCTAGTTGCCCGGGGAGCAACAACTCCCGCGAAACCTTCCAAACTCCCTGTTGCCGCACAGGTGTTGGCAAATGTTGCAGCAATCGCCTGATCTGGAGAGCTAAGCCCTCGGCATCAAGGAACTCGCGGGAGACATCATCCCAATCTTTGCTGAAAGCTGGACACAGGAAATCGCGTGCCCAGTCAAGTGAACTTGCAGCGAGAAGCTTGGACCCTTCTCCAATCCAATCGAAACCACTCAAGCAAGCCACTCGCGAAACAAATGCATGCATCTCTCCCACTTTCCTGCCTGGGCCGCTGGTCTTGGTTTTACGGAGAATGAAGCGCAATCCCATCTGGCTGAGCTTCACACTTGCAGGATCGATATTCTGTGTGTCATCGCACCGAAGGCTCGCCCAGACCATGATCAAAAGCACAAATGCCATGAATCGCAGCCCGAGCTCATACAGTGGTCTGCACACAACCAATTCACAAGCGATGAGCACCGAGACAGGAAGTAGTGGTGCCGGCTTCACTGAAGGCCCTTCTGTCTCCAGCTCCATTGTCCAAGAACGTATGCTTTCCACCAGCATAGAATCCTCACTCAAGCGGTCTTCGCTTGCGACCATTCCAACACTTTCAAGGAGAGATAAACTCGACATGATCGCAGCCGGGACAGTCTTTCCCATCTTCGCGACACTGTGTCGCTCCTCCAGGTACTTCAGCAGCATCTCTGGGCCGCGCGGCCAAGCCACCCCAAACGAAACCATGAGCCATGTGCGAACGGGCTTCCAGGCACGCGCCCTGTTCCGCAGAGTCTTGCCTCTGCGGTTGCCGAAGATGCGCAGCCACTGTGCCTTGCCATCCCCGAGAGCCTCCATTCTTGCAGCGCAGGGAAGCCCTGCCTCCTTGATGAAAACCACTAGTTCCATTGCCCATTTCTCACGTAGCAAAGATTCAGCTTCCTCCCGGTTTCCGCTGGCACGACTCACCCGTATTGCTCTTTGCAACTGCGACAATGCAACAGCAGGAGTCGTTGTAACAGTCTCCTCAAAAACCTCATGAATGCTTCTCTTCGCACGTGGGACCCGCGAAGGCAAAGATGGCAGCTGCTCACGCAGTTGCCTGGCACCTGAAGGACCATGCCGTCGCCTCCTATCGATCCATGCCCAGAATCTTTTAGAAATCCGCTCCACCTCCTGTGCAGGTTTCAACTCACCCAAGAGCTCTGTCACAAAATGTGTCGCTCCCGCTTCATCATCGATTGCTCCCTCCAACTGCAAGAAAGAGTGATAATGCTTCCTGACTTCTGCAGCAAGCACTTCATCGACAGTAGACAAACTTTGCCAGTCATCATTCATGTCCTTA